AAATCTGATTCATTACAATAATAATTCATACAATTCTTCACTTTGCCTTCATTTTTTTTAAAAAGACAAGTAGCACACCTCAAACACTAAAAAAAAAAAAAATGAATTACTCAATAAAGAGAGTTTACACCTGTTCTATGATCACATTACAATAATAATTCATACCATTATACACATATACTACACCAAGACATAACACAAACAACATACAACCTAACATGTCTAAACACAATTAACATAACTTTTGTAGTCATATCATAGCATCTCAACCTTTCCTTCACGATCTCAATCAACTTATGATCACATCTTTTACACATCGGAGTTTTCACATCATCACAATCATCCGCACAAAACTATGTAGTCAGTTGCCATACCCGATATGTATGTTATTATGGATCATATATCAGTCTCGAATTATATAAAAAGCCTTCTAGATGCCAAAAATAAGTCTGGATTGATATGAAATTGGATAGTTTTGCAACATCCGATTGTAAAAATCAGTTCTAATTAGATCTTAACTGTTCTTGGTTGATTTTTGGTTTAACGTGAATCTTTGATGAGTCAAAATTATGGACCAAGTTAGGTTTGGGTTTAACTCATTATGTTTACGCTTAAATCTTCCAAGAAACGCCAATATATTGTTATCAGGCCATTATAACGATTGCATGATTTTAAGCTTGTTTGGGCTCATCTTTGTTGGGTCTTTACTCATTATGTTGTTATGGCTTTTGAGAGGATGGTAAAATCGTAACAAAATGCCATTGAAAATCTAATATATGAAAGTGGAATAGCTCTCTCCAGCCTTTTGACACGTTATCTCTTCATATAGTGCCACGTGTTCAACATCAGTTTTGAACAAAAAAAAGCAAATAATATTTTAATATTCTCAACCTTGACGCTTCTCCTTTGACATTAGGGTTCCAAAATTAATGGCTTTCATAGAGCTTCACCTTTTATGCTTCTCGCCCAATCAACTCCCATAAAGCCATAAGTTCGGTGTCAAATCAAATAATCAATATGAGACTATATACATTTGTCATCTTTCCCCATCAATGGTAACGACGAAGATGATGTGCCGTCCGTCAACCGGTTCTCTGAATAACGCAAATATGTCTTGCTCGCTCAGGTGCTCGCCACAAAGCTTGACTAAACCATTCTTCACCGCATCATCTTCCTCTTTCCTTTGTTTTTTCGCTTTCCAAGGATAAAATTTACACTCGACGATCTCTAAACTTTATAAAACGTAAAGTTAGGACTTACGACATAGTCGATCTCTAAATTATGTAAAATGTACATTTATAATGTATGAACACAAACATTTTTTTTTGTTCTCTTTTGTGAATCTTTTTCTTTATCAAACGTGTTTTTTTTATTGTTACTAAGAAAATTTTACTTTAGATATTTAAAATATTTAGTTATGATTTGTTTAGTTAGTAAACAGTCCAATTATAAAAATGTAC